TGACAACATTGTTGAGCAGAATGAGGAGAACATCCGTGGCACCCAAGCCTACAATGGGTCTAGGTTAAGCAGCTCATTCAGCCTTGCCTAGTCCCACATGTTGTGGTGGGATCTTTCCTTCTTTTCTTCTGTTCCGTGAGGAAGAGTCAGCAAGAACCTTAATAAAACGTGTGCTAATGCCGATAGACGACATTATAATATTCCTACGGGTGATGAGAAACACGAACACTTCTCAGTTCAACTAAGAAATCTGAACTTTGATGAGAAGTCAAGCCTAGAAAACTTGTGCCGTACGGTAGCAGTTATCTAGACTATAGAGAGATGGCGCCAGTGCACCCTCAACTCAGATTTATCATAGCAGGCTCAAATGTTAACAGTTTTGCGAAATAAAATCGAATTCTAACAGCAAATTCATGCCTTTCGAATGTGTCGCACAGGAATCTGGCTTCAAAATTAATATAAAAGGTCATCGTGGTCAGGTCAAAGGTCATCTCAGAAAAAAATATGAACTGAGTTGGACAATCAGCAGGAAATTACGAATCGAAAGGAGGTATTTATGGCGGAAATCGGTTGAGAAACCTAGGAGGAGTTCACCGGACGAAATCCAGTCATTCAAACATTTGCCCGTCGTTATGTATACAGATTGATAGACAATAGCAAAATTATATAGGTATATAGTAAAAACTAAAAAGAATTGGTGAAAATATATGAGTGCGGAGCATTATGGGGATAGCTCTTTGGGGGAATACGTCATGATGACCGAAGGCACGGGTAGGTTGGCAAGTGATGACAAAAGAAAACCAGAGGACGACCGGGACTTGAACCTGGGGCCACTTGATTTCTGGTTAAGTGAGTTACCACTGCACCATCAAATGCGGGACATTTGCCTCTGCCTCTCACTGTGCCAATCACCACACATACGGCTTCCTGTTCCTACGTAAACGGACACTCGCCCTCCGTTCAATGTTGCTACCACATGTTGAACGTACGCGCGCACGCCAGTTCATGCTTGCATCTCTTACGCCCAACACTTCACATTAAAATTACAATTTATTTTCTCATCTTTCTCAGCTAAAATATGCAAGAACCCAATCTACTCATCAAAAGATTGCGATTGATATATCACATGTACCATGGAACGTGTGGTCCACTTCGCTTGTCTTTCACTCAGGGAAAATGTTCCATTTAATAAGAGTAACGCTAATATCACGTGAAAGTATCTGCGTCGATGCAGCATTATGCATCATACTTGTGTAACGTTTTATCATAATGAATGGACTGGGTTTTTTAAATCTGGAATGCATTCTTTCAGACTGACGAAAGTGCCTGGAAAAAAGGGGAAATCATTCAACCATTGGGCCAAATGATAATAAGTAATAAATTAATTTACTGGAATAAAAATTCAAGACTGAGGCCAATGGAAAAACATTAACACGGTAAAAATGAATCATTTTATCCAACTGTAAAAATGAGAAAGGAAAACGTGACTGCGGGTTTAAACATGAACATCATATACGAGAGACCTTGCAATCCCGAGGAAAACCACTTACCTAAATGATAGTTTGAGAATCTCCGGATAGTGGAAATGTTATGCTTACCCTCGGAATACTTAAAAAGTTATTATTTAATGTAGAAAGCAGTGTGCAATCGGTCGAAATATACTCTTTCTCAAAGAGAGGTCTCTAAAAACCCAATATAAACTTTCTTTTTATGCTTAATAGTCCAGTACGTCATAGATTCTGATTCTTTCGAGAGAAAAAAAGGCAGGCCGAGGCCTGACCTGGTTATGATCATTGGGCGAGGCATAGGCCAAAAATTACAGGGGAGAACCCAGGGGGTGAGGGTTTTCTTTTGTAGAAAGGAAAAAATATTAAATAACGGATTCACACATCTTCATTGTGAAGAAAGCGTTTCGAAGCAAGTTTTCGAAGGATTCACTTCGAAAACTTGCTGATGAAACGGACCCTTGAATTGAAACGATCAGAAATTACACGGAATGCTCTGGTCACTTTTTCATCCCAGTCCAGCACTTCAAGGCTTGTAGTGATGGCACAAAGCAGGAGTCGAAAGTCTTCCAATAAGTTGTAGGCTTCTCCAGCCCTGATCCTGTTTTCTGTCTCGATGCATTTATAGATACCGTGTCGGTAGAAGTCCCAGGCATAGCCATTGAGTCGCTGCCATGGTTTCGTGAGTGGCAGAACATCTATCGGCGTGAAAGCCTGTAAGTAAATGCACGAATGCAACATTGACCCCGAAAGCTTCATTAATAAAACAGAACTTCGATTTCTCATTCACTTCAACATAGACGCTCTCTCCTGCAGATATGGATATATTATAATCAACATGAAGCCCTAGAAGAAAGTGTCACGGGGAAAACATGCGGACCTCAATTCTGATGTCAGGGATGACGTGTCGGTTGGGGATGAGGTCTTCGTCCGTGACGTCACTGAGAGCCGAAAATTGAGAAACAATCTTCACCTTCAAAGCAGATTCCTTCAACCTAAACTCCAAGCTCCCTACTGCAATGAAAAACATATGAAACACTTCATCTCCCATTAAAATATGTCCATTGCCTTTACTGAAGTACCATTCCCTGTCCTCAACCTCCTCTTATTTGAGTAATCCACTTCCTCTTACTATCATGTGAAGGTATATGGTGAAACGAAGTCAAGCATGCTTCTTGCTTTTAGAGCAATAAATCGCTCATAAAAATTCGAATTCTTGGAGTTACGGGGAACACAGGAACTCTTTTTGTAAAAGCGTGATTTAGTTCCTTCACATGGATAGTCCCAACAGAAGATTTCGGAGGAGATAGCCCAACAAAAACTAGTCGTGAACTATACAGTCAACGTACATGCCATTTCCACAGCATGAGATTGGCGATTTTGATGTGGAACATAATAGTTTTGTTCATTCGAAGATTCATCATGCATGTTCCTGTCCTGCTCCCTTTGATTCATGACGGCTTGGTGCATGTATTGGTGGTTTTTATTTATATAGATGAGATACGGTGTTTTTTGCTCAGCAATATCCAGTTTTACGTGAATCGAATATTCGCGCGTGTGCGTCCACTTTCCCCTCAGCTTAGTTGTATGCTTAGAGTCCGATATGGCACATTCGCGATCGTGAATTCCCACATGGTATGGTAACAATCACAGAGCCATCAACAGAGATCTACGGATGAACCGTACAGAGATGCAAACATTCCTCACCGGGTGGGGAGGATGATGTCGCAATGCCTGGAAATTCAATCCTGGACAGGGGAAGTCTACATTCTTCTCCGTGTCGCTTTTTTACATCTCTCGAGCAGAATGCCAAGGAGAATCGAAACGTCTCCCTGACCATCGATTCATACTCCTCAATGACCTAAAATATGGAGAACTCTCTGAAAATACTCATGGACCATCACCGCTACATAAATGAGAGAGATTCCCTATTGACACAATCGTCCATAACTTCACATCCTTCTCATCGAACCATATATGGTCACTGGCGAGAAGTGGGTGCAAGCAATCATGTATTTATGAGAATGGAAATATTTATTTCTCAGTGGGTGCCTATTTACATCAGTAAAACATGCAAATGTGCATTTGTGAAGCAATATCAATTTTTTTATTTTAACTTATGGTCGTCAAATCGTAGGTGAAATATTGTGCATTTCGGTGTTCTGTATTATTTGGGCTTCGCATGCAATTACGATTTGACTTCGCCTATTGTTGGAATGGAGAGGTCCATTTGAACTAATGATTGGGTGCCTTACATTCTTGACTTTGGGGTTGAGTTTTGGAAGAAAAACTTGTGAGTTCCACTTCTTCAGTTTCCTTTTTTTCTCAATGCATGATTTCCAGAAATCTGGAATGCTGAAGTTTGTGAAAATGTAGCACAGGATTACGACCAAGTCCTCTAACATCTCCTCGTCGAACTCCTCGTCCTGTGAGAAATACAAAGAAGAGTTAAGAACTTGCCGCTAAAGCTTGATGGATGAGTTTGCATCTAACATTTCCACTGTATATCAAGTGTATTCTCATTTTTTTCGCAGGAGAGTACCTTCATTCCATTGTGGACGATGTTGTTAATTATGCCCTTGTCAAGTAGAATCTTGAAGATGTAGACTCCCGGCTCGTGGTACTGCAAATGCATGGCCAACTGAGAATGGCCCCCGACGTTCCCCTTCACGTTTATGTATTCCTGCATGGTTTTTGTGCCGAAAAAAAACTCAACCGAAAAGGAAGTCGCACGATCTAACCCTGAACTGTGAAAAAACTCGCAGTTTCGAGTTGTGCCAAATCAACGATTTGAAAGAGGATGCTAATGGAGAGATACCAGCTGAATGAGGAAGAGGAGCCCAAAAATGAAGAAGTATTCCGTATGTTCTTTCCACGTGTCTGACGTGAGTCCTCCTAGGGGCAAGGATAGGAAGGATCGATGTCTATTGAAAAAAAAAATCATTTCATCATGAAGATAATTCAGAGAATGTTTACTTAATATTATCATGAACTTTTTTATTTACATAAGGTTTTAATTGTTATATGCGGTAACGAAACGATCATTTTGAAATATGATATGAAATAAGTTTATAAATATTTTCTCGCAGTTTCGTCCCCATTTGGACATATGTATGACAACGGGAGGATGGAGAAGGGGTGAGGCTGTAAAATTCTTAGTTATTCCAGGACAATTTTTTTCTTCATTATATCACGAAGTTTTCGTTCAAAACAGCGAATTTCCACCAATGTTGCACTTATTTCTGCCATGATATTTATTACAAGAACTCAATCTCTCCGTAAAGGGGTATGAGATTTTGAGAAAATTAGAATGCTTCACTTGTTTGACGGGGATTAAATCAGTATTTTCTTCTTTTGGGGGACAAAATATTACTTTTCTTTACCAAAACAGCATAAAAAACTATGTAGGGGCAAGAGGTAAGAGCAACTATAGAGAAATAAATAGATGTATTGAAAAGCCTAAAAGCACCAGATATGCCTGCCCAGTACAGGATGAATAATTGTCCTACATCCATTTTCATTCAGAGAAGGCTTTTTCACATGATATTCAGGTATTCTGACACCTTTGTAAGTTAAGAGACAGTCACTTTCCTGAAATTATTTAAATTAGTAAAAGCATTCTCACCTTAGCAGAAGAGCTTCATCATCACCTCCACTCACAGCACTAGATGTTGCAAGAAGCCGAAGGATGAGAGAAACCGACAAATGGAAGTTACCCCGGAGCATCGGGAGGTCACCCAGAAGGAAGGATTTTATCCTCCCCAGGGACACTCCTGTGAAGACAACATTCCCGACCAAGTCGAATCCCCGTCTTCCAGCTCGCCCAGACATCTGCCGGAAGCGCTGCACGTTCATGTACGGGGAGTCGCCGGCAATGATGACGCTCTTGCAGGGCATGTGGATGCCCATGGCAAGCGTTCCCGTCGCGGAGACGTACTGGAGGAACTTCTTGCGAAACAGCATCTCGACCGTGGATCGCATCTTGTTATCGATGCCGGCATGATGGAAGCCAACACCTCGAATAAGCATTTCCATGAATTCTTTTGCTGAATTTCGACTTGGGGCAACCTTTTGCTTCATTTTGGGATCGCTCGTGTTCCCAGTTTGAGTTTCAATTAGTTTCCTTTCATTCAGGCGCCAAACTTGAGGTCTTACAGGTTTCAATCGCATCAACCGCTGCGACAGATATTCAAACTCCTTCTCAGAAACATTCTCATAAGCAGCCAGGGTCCATTCCGAGGAGGGTTTGTATTCAATGAAGAAATTTGGAACTGTCCTCTGGTTCAAGTTTGCCCTTGATTCGGCCTTGAAGTCTCTCATCCTGCCCTGCTGGGTTAATTCTCTTTCTTTCTTTCTCTCTCGCGGGGGCTTCTCATTCGTTTTTTTTAATTTTTCCACCGGAATAACTTTTGATTTTTGATCGCGCGACTCCCCCTCCTCCAGGTACTTTGCGATATAACGTGCGAACGACTCGACTTTCTTTCTATCATCGATGAAACTCAAAGCCGGAAGACCATCGATTTTCTTGAGATGAAATACCAACGCCAATTGGGTCCGAAGAGGGCTAATAATGATGCCTTCATCACCTCGAACAGCACGCAAGTCAGCATTAAGGCTACGCAATGCTTCGTCTACGTCCACGGGATGCTGGATCGCCAGTTCCTCGAGTCTCTTCAGCAGCAACTGCGCGTACTCCTTCACTTCCGTGCGGGTCGGGAATGCTTGAGCTTTGAATTTGTCTTCGGGATCGACACCGTCCGTTGATCCTGTGGGAAGGTGTTTCTTCAGTGCATCAAACAGCGCAAGAGTTTGCCTAGGCGATGGGGAAAGATGGCTTGGTATCCCAGATCTCCTGATTTCCTCTGAAGTCATCAGCCCCATAGGATTTATAGGCAAAAGCATTTGCTGATTCTCATTAGAAATGACAAACAAAAACGGTTCAAGGTCTGCATTCCTCTCATCGTGAACAATCAGCTGCACTTGATATGCTTTCGGTCCCTGTCGCCTTTTATTCAACTTCTTGTCGATTTCCGATTTAACATATTCGATGGTTTGCATCCATTCGTGGAAGGACTCGTAGTTCTTAACGGTGGCAGAGAGTGCCAGTATAGGACAAGGGATGAGAAGTAGAAGTTGTTCCCAAACTTCCCCACTTCCTTCCTCTCCCAGGCAATGGATTTCGTCCATGATCACGTATTTGAGCTTGGAAACCCAATCTTGCATCTGTGGAGACAACATGAGGATCTCGAATGTCTGGGGCACGACAATTAAAACCTGGGAGTTGAGCACGTTCTCTCGATAGTCCCTGGTGAAGACCCCGAGAACAGCCTTCCCAGCGGGCATCACCTTTTGATTGAAACTGGCGTATACGGTCGCTGCGACCTGATTCACAAGAGCTTTTGTCGGCGCTACGTACAAGACAACGCTCTCGTTATCCATCTGGAGGACCTTGCGTATGCAGTAGTAGGATGCATAGGTCTTGCCTGATGAGGTGGGGGCGACAATTAGCATTGACTGGTTCATGTCGATAGCATCGAACATTTGCCTTTGCCACGTGTCTGGAATAAACTTGTCGATCCTGGGATCGGGATCGGTTCTGTACTCACGCTTTAAGTGTGGGCCCATGTGTAACATTTGAAAGCGGATACTGGATTCCCCATCCTTCCTCTTCACATCATCAATGGAGAGTTTCAGTTTCTGCAATATATCTGGGAAACCAATCGTATTCAGAACTTCTGTAATTTTTTCCATTTGCCTTGGCTTCAAAATTTCTCTGGTTTCTTCGAGAAGTTTCCGTATGTCCATGAAAATGCTTACCGTTGTGGAAAATAGAATCTTTTCTCCAAAGTTTCATGGAAGCACATAATCGTAAGATGAGCAGATCCGTTTGAATTTCAACAATTTGAAATTGTTTCATCTTCACAGTGATTTCTGTCCTGACCGTCTCAAATTGGCATCGCTTCAACTCCAATTTCCACTTTTCCTTCGCCTCACGAAATTGCTGGAGTTCGCGCTGCTTCTGCTCCTCTTTCTTCTTCTTTGTATTCTCATTCTTGATTAATTCTGCTTTTTTGCTCACACCAGTTTTCTTAAGTTTTTTGGTCTGTTCTACGACGGCAATCTGTTCGGAAACATCGCGACCTTCCAGTGAATCTCCGTAGAAGCGCATGAATCTTACCAACTTCTGTTTCTGTGTATTTTCTATTCGTTGTTCCCAGATATCCTTTGGCTTCCTAGCGTTGCTGATGGCCGTTTCCTTCTCGGTCAGGATTTCTTTGACGACATGGTAATGATACTTACTTAGTGAGTCAGGAGGCATATTCGTCTCTTCCCATGAAACTTCCTTCAAGAATGGGAGGTTCGGTAGATCATCAGTCAATGGTGCCTGAAAATTCGGTAGGAATTTCTGCACCAGCAGCACTGACTTGAAAATACATTCCGCCCGGATGGGTAATAAGTCCACTTCTTCTTCTTCTGGTTTCTCGCCCAGAATTTCCCTCGCGGTGACCACCGACAGAGGGGCAGCCTTTTTAAAGCATCTCGAGAGTTCCATGTAATGGTCGTGAACTGGCTGTGTGACTGTTATTGTCTTTTCTTTCCTAGCCAGAGTAAGCATCTTGAGAAACATTCTTCCGTCCATCAAATCCGCGATTTTTGTGAAGTCAAGATCATTTCTTGTCCTGAGTATTTCAATAATTTTTGCCATTTCCAACTTTATCGAGGACAGAAAATCCAGCAACCCTGTTGATAATTCTTCAGGCCTAGGATTTTGACCTCTGTGTTCAAGTGGGAGTTTCATTATTATTGCAACATGTAGAATGAACACTGCTGCAATATAACGGAATTCCTCATTCAGTAGATTCATGTTAGAGATAGCAAATGTTGCGCAGAGAACTCTGGCATCTTTGCCGACATCAAATGCTCCTTCTGAAATAGCCCTGTAATGATCTTTCTTCATTGCGGTGAGGTATTTTGCCTCAGGCATTCCCAAAACTTGCATAACACAATCATCTCTAACATTATCGCAGGTCAAGACGTATGCGAATATGCAATTTGCTTGTAACGATATTGAATCCAACAAGATAATTCTCATATTCTTCGATGCATATGCGATCATATTTACCTTGAGACAGGATATAATGCCTAATGGAATGATGGCTGGAATCCCTTTTGCATCAACATCTCCAGAATGGCACAGCACCGATGCATTCATGCGATTTTGGAAGTCCACATGACAACTAGAGGGAAAGGAGAGAACGCGACAGGACGAGTTCTTCTCCAGGTGTGTGTGAATGACCTGTCTTGCTAATAGTAGAGTCGGATTTTCATTCCATAATTTCAGCGTGTTTTCGAAGAAGATGATAACGAGCACTGCCCCTCTTTCGAAGAGCATTCCCAGAAACCTCTCGACTGCATACACCAGATGTAAGTACTGCCCTCCGTAACTGACGTCCACCGATGAGTTGAAGATGATAAAAAGCAGCAAGGAATCTCCGTCGAGAAGGAATGTATTTGAAACAGAGAATTCATCGGCGATGTTTTTCCGCTCTCCCGATAGAACCAGTTTCTCTGCCAAAGCCTCGATGTCTAACTCTGAAATGATAGTTTGTAATAGCGAGGAACTTCTACAGTTGAAGCAGAATAGGGAAAGCTTTTCTTAAATTTCCTTTAATGCTCCACTCTCAGCAGGTATTGAAAGGCTCAGTTACATAAGTATAACTCATCAAGAAAAAGTTTCCATCTGCATCTTGTATTAGTTGAAACCTGAAGATCCTTTTGGATTCCTCATTGAATCACGTTTCTGTCTGACCGGATCCTAGAACATCCAACAGGAATGATTATGGGAATATCTACAGGAAAACGTATGATTTCTTCGGATTTGATGTACTATTGGCCCTCTTCTTAAGGGGTACGGGCTTGAACCTTAAATATTCTGACGTGATACACATTATGAGACAAAAATGATCGAAATTGTCTTTTTTGGTGAGCTGTGCGTGTTGCTTGGTGTGTGTTGGTGAGTTGCTCCTGGGCTGTTAATTTTGGTAAAATTTGATAGGTGTATGAGGTGACAAAGTTGCGGCGGATTATGTGCCGAATTTCAGCATTTTGGCTCTAAAGTTTTTGCCACTGTAATTCTTCCCTAATGAATCATGATAAAATGTGATTTTGAACATATCGCTATAAACTTGAGTTCCAATGTTACTGATGTAACACCAGGCACAAAATGAGAACATGTATGTTAATATATATTTTCAAAAAATGGTTTTGTCCAGATATTCTACTTCAACTTCATCTTATAGACCATAGATACCTGTACCTACTTCGGTCAAAATTTTCTCAGGCCTCCATTGATGAGAAAAAGGAAGGGCATTCTTGTCGTGTTAATGCCGTAACACAGTTTAAACAACCGTGTTCGTTCTTCAGCTTCCCATTCAATATTGTCTGATTTAGCAAGGCCTGAAACTTCCATATTTTCTGAAAAGAAGACAAATACCATTAACTTTCTTCGTGCCAAATACATTTTTTCCCTAAAATATGAATTGCCTAGGAGCGTTTTCCAATATTATTGATGTAACATATTCGCCAAAGAGCGAGATTCACCAATTAAGTGTAAATATTCATTCAAATGGAATGGTCCAGAAGTGACAGAAAACCATCCTAACCCAGGTAATCATTGAAGAATAGAGCTAATGTGGTTCAAGATTGGTACCCACGCAGTGCTGAAGATGTAAGTTGGATGGGAGTTTTGAAATTTTACCTTTTACCACCTTTGTCCCAATTACTTTGAAATAGTCCAGGTCTGCATTCATGGAAAACATGATCGCCGACCGCAACAAGCTACGTGTTTTTTTTATACCGATGTTACGAACCTACTTTAAATAAATATATGTTTAAAAATCTAATGTAGCTCGCTATACTTACGCTATTATACGGGACATTACATCTACTCTAAATAAAATATTTTCCTTTCCTTGTGTTTTTCATGAAAGTGTATTGTCAGACATGCTAAAATATGTGGCATATAGAGTAGTAGATCTTGCTGTAGTTCAAAATGGGCGACTTGACAATGGAAAATGATGAAGGCATTTCTAATGGAGAATTGGTCAAGGAATGGCCTTGAAAATGTCATCTAGAAATTTAATTTGATCTGGTGGCGAAGTTGCATGTGAAAATATATAAATTAACAACAATTTTTCTTAGATTGAAAGTAGAGAAAATATTATTCTCACAAATATAGGAATTTTGATTTTAAAGTCCGCCTACAAACCCTTATTGAGTCGCCCTATCACTCCGAAATTTCATTAGAATCGGCACCTACAATCAGATTGACAACTCACCAAAAATGACAATTTCCTTTACCCATTCCCTATATGCTCCAAAAATTTTTGAATGGATTAAACTGTTCGCATCCAGAAGCAAACTATTGAGCATCGTCCTTTGTCCTTCAGTCTAGCATTTGGCCCAGAAATACTTCAGTTTGGAGGCTTGTAGGGCTAAGACAGTATAATTTTAAGTCATACAGGCCAAAAAGTTCCTGGATGAGAACGGACTGAAGTGCATTGAGTTCTGATTCTTGGAGCGAAAAGTCTAATACGAAATACTTCTACACGCAGACTGCTAATCCCAAACTGGAGAGTCGGAATATTTTATCAATTTTGAAACCGCATCCCTAGGCTTAGATGAGATGCTGAATAAATGCTATCTTCTCAAGGACGAGCAAGAAGTCTTTCCTTTCTTGTTCTAAATGACCCTTTACCCCGTATTCCTAAGCAACTAGGTAGGTATTCTGAATAATATATAATTATGGATATAATCTTGCTACTTAAGAGGATCGAAACATTCATAAATATCCAAAGTCAGAATGATGAAATAAATACATGTCTTCTCAATGGATTCTAATATTGAAAAATCCTTCAATTTTGATTTCTTCCCGGGATGATAATGGGAGAGTTAAGTGCATTGGCTTTAGTTTGCAACAGCAATGATTGCCAATATGCTCAATATCCTTATTGCTAATCTCATCACGATAGAATTTCAGTCGTATCAAATACAAGGTATGCGCAAGCGTAACTTTAAACCCCATTCACAATATCACATAGTTTCACAGGAAGAATAAGACAAGTGTTCCCTTTCTCTTATTGCGCTAATATATAGACCACCATCCATGCATACTCGTATTCACGGTTTGCAGTATATCACCAAAAGTAGAAGCTTTGGAACTTGCTTTGTTAGGACGATAAGAATAATTCTACACAATCCACAGATAATATATTGCCTATCAGCCTAGAACATGAAGGGACGGAATAAAATTTACCTGCTTTTGGGAAGCTTTGGGGAAATTCATCATCATCCTCGTCTGACCCTGAGGTGAGAAGACCTCCTTCCTCCTTGCTATTCATATCGATGTCTGCAACAGCATTCTAATACTGTTCACTTGTGGGAGAATTCTCAATATGTGCTATCCCCAGAGTATGGATAAGAAAAGAGAGCAAGCAACTTCCATTCCCTCGTATCAGCTGTATGCGGAAAATGCGTTTCACAAACAGGAACTACCATTGTTGGTTTACCGAGGCTATGCGCATACTTAGCCATGATGACAGGATAGATTCCAATGAAAGGAGCCTATCATAAGCATTGGATACAATGGCGTTCTGGGCATAGCGGTAATACTGACAGCCTATACCTCAATGTCGAGGATGCTCGACAAATTCTGAGAATGGGACTGACCCTGATTATTGAAGATTGACTCAATGAAAGTAATAGAAGAAAACGCGCTGCACAGGATGATCCATTTTCCAATGACTGTGGGTCCAGTGATGTGAAAACAGTTACGTTTCCTGTTGGGAATCAGGTGTTCTCCAATTTATAAATATACATCATATGTTTGATGTATACAGTTATTTGTTAGCCACAACAGTATAGTCGACATGGTGTAAGGTCTCTGTGGGACGCTATCACATTCAGACTGTGAAACAATTTGTATTAATAAAACACTCTACATCATTTTGGAAACAATCCGTGACAAAGAATGGCCCTGACAGGGATAAACGACGCTATATTGTGCGATTTGACAATTTTTAGCGACTCTGTTCTGTCACTCTTCAGTTTCGACTAGGAATACATGACTCGAGTTTCCTCACGTGGTAATCGTATATAGTAAGCCAACATTAATGCAGACCATGATACAGATTCAGAACATCACCCTCGTTATGACAGACAAGCCGTAGTAGGTAGGAGGGGGGGTTGTGGCAAGAGAGGAAGCGAAGTGACATGCAGGCGATATGTCTACCTGCTGGACTGGTACTTTCCAAAGCGACTTCTTCAACATCCGCTTCTGACTCTGAGGCGCGGCCCTCTTCGTCTCGCACAATTTTTTTTACCTCGGAGGGAAAACGAGAGTTACTTCGCTGCTCCAAAATCAGGAAACTTCACGTATCTCTGAGCTATGCGCTCTGCATGGGTAATATAAGACTGTCAGGGTTATCTCTTCGAAGTTTTATACTAGCTGCGAGCTGGACGGCGTGATTCATAGACATCCTGGATTTCCTGTTATATTTCCTGTACAGAAATTTATGAGTAAAAACAACCAGTTTTCCACTCCGCCTTGTATGGAATCCGTATGTCACGTTTGTGTCCAAACAAATCTTGAACTTCATCAGCGTTGAACAATAAATTGAAATGCTTCGGATGAATCCAAAAGTCATGCCAATTAAGAACGAGAGTAATTCAGAGCGGGAAAGAGGGTCAGTAATGCAGCATTATTTATTTTCGATCACATCAATTCCATTGGCGCTCATGGATGTGATGTACTGGTCATCGTGGCCTAGTTATCGTAGCTCTCAATTCAAGTTGCTTTTGCGAGTGTTTTTACAATTAACTTTGACATACTTGGAGTCACTTAGGAAGGCTCGTTGGACGCTTTTCGCGCCATGTCATTGTCATCAGCTCAGAGGACTCTCATGGGTTTCTAATAGGACCGACATAATTATCATATGAAACTTATAGGTCCTTATAGGATTTTGACCACCTGCTAAACCCTGGAGGAAGGTCACTTTCAGGTGCGGCCCGTGGTTAAAAGTGTCAGGGAGGTTATATTAGGAGGTAATATTAGGTGATATATTAGACAAATACCTTCATACGGAACCTTGGAAATATTCATTTGGGATCGTTTCTTTCCTCTACGTTGACCTGTAAACAGGATTGTAGAGTAACGATTTATTGCATGAACCTTACCAATTTCTATGAAGAGAAACAATAATTGGCTTTGTTGTCCCCACACCTAACAAAAGGCTGCAACCCATTCCGATTTTGCTACAAAAATGACAGACTTTTGCAGCAAGTTTGTAATAATTGGTTCCAGTCGATGCATTCTAATAATATGGGTTTTTTATTCCTGAACCTGATGGAACCACTGAGGGTCTTGCGCCATACCGCTCCTATGACCAGCTACATCGCGCAATGCAGGATAAATGCATTAGGTGAGCATGTGAATGGGATTACTGACTTAAGATCTATTGACGGGTACCTGAAGCTCATTCTGACCCTACCCTCCCCACCCATTTGCAATTGAATGAAATGACGAACCCAAGGTATGGTACTTTCGAGCTGACGCTCGAAAGTACCATACCTTGGGGCTGGTGTTCCGCATGACAGGTCCAAGTTCGTTTTCCATGGTCTCCTGGATTAAATTTTGGAAATTTCAAGTTCACGAGTAATGGTAAAAGTGGTACTTCTCTTGTTAGAGAAAGCTAGTAGGTAGCTAGATACATTTTACATAGATACATTTTCGAAAATAATAATTAACGGTATGCAATGGTTTTCACTGAGCTCGTATATCACCCCAAACTTCCCTATGCTGCCAAAGGGATGTTTCATGGCGAATTCCTTTGGACCTTAGTTTTCAAAAGAAAGTCCCCGGTCGAAACATTTAGAGAGGATTAAACTTAGGATTTCTTAGGACTTAGGACTTAGGAGACAATTCTGTCCCTATATCTGAGGAATGACCCAAATGCTTGAGTGCATGCTATGTGCACGCGTGACCGATGCGTTCGAACGCATATGGACGTATGCAGACATGCAAGACGCATGTGTGTCAAAATTGCACGCATCACACGCTAAATGTGCGACGGCCTTTAGTCTCGCAGAGCGGCATCTGATTGGGCTCCTTTGCGCTGCGACAATCCCCACTCACACTGATCTGGGAGTCAGGCGAATCCCCGCAATGCCTCCTCCACCCTAAGAAGCCTCGCAGCTACATCCTCCCTCTCCATCTCCCCCGCCGCCATCCTGACCCTCGTTTCCTCCGCACTGATTACTTTTCCTGTTAACTCCTTTAGTTGGTCCTTCAAGACAAACTCGACTGAATACCTGGCTTGCCGCGCCTAATCAACCCCTACACTATGCACTTCTGAGCCCTCTTACCGTTATATAGCTGATCATCCCTTACTCTAATCATCGTAACAATGATAATCCAGGTACGGGTATAAATCTCCGGCCACCAATGACCGTACTCTGACTCACAGGTTATGAAATCGCCTAGCTCAATGGGTATACCAGCAACAATGATACAAAACATTATAAACTATTGAGCTAATTACAATTTCACTCCAATTTATCCGTAAGGAGGTGTAGCCAAAGACTCACTTTCCTACTGAGCAACAGACACTCACGCTAACTCACGACTGTGCTGACAGACCCAAAAGGAACACGTCCTCGCGCTACAAACGCTTGACCATTACCAAACTGCTTTCAACTGATTATTTATTTCCTCATCATGAATGGATGATCCAGATGCAGAGACAGGGAAGCGGTTTGTTCTCGACTCTCCGTTTTTGAATCGTTTTAACCAGTGAAGCTTTTCAAAATCAGAAACGTTTTAAACACATGTTATAACCCATGGGGGCACTTTTTCTTCAGTCCCGTTTTCTTGATTTTTTTTTGATCCAACAAAACAGAGACAGCAAAATTAAAATTCCCTCAGAAGTACCTATTTATTGGCTGAATACAGGAAAAATCCTACTTTTGTAGTGTTTATTATAGGAGGGAAGTATTTCAAAATGTATTCCCCACCCTTACAAAAAGGGACACATGAAAAGATTTCAAGTTTGGCACACTAGAAATCGTACAAGTAATGATTTTTTTAAAGTCAAGGCTTTCGTCCCCATAAGTCGTGTACTTCGATGGGGACGTACATTAAATACGTGCTTGCCATTTCGCTAATAATAATTGAATTAATCACTATCCAAGGTAATGGAGCTGCAGGCGGCTCTGACGTGATCGTATATTATTCCTTATCACTAACAGAACGCCAGCGTGTTCGAGGTTAGAATGACTCCTTAGACTCCTTGTAGTAATATAATGAATTTATTATATAATTACT